GGCATAGCATGCGTGCTCCTCACGGAACTTATGCACGAATTGCACCGCGAAGTGGGTTAGCAGTCAAAGGAATAGATGTCGGCGCCGGGGTGGTAGACCAAGATTACACCGGAGAAGTGCGTGTAGTGTTGATCAACTCCACCAATCAACCATTCCAGGTACACGCCGGCGATCGAATCGCACAAGTCATTTTGGAACGCATTGCGTCATGCGATATCGAGGAGGTGTCAAGTTTAATAGAGACTCAACGAGGATCAGGAGGTTTTGGATTGACGGGTAAATAATCGTGAGGACACGATTCTAGATGGGGGGGTAATGTCATGAATATTACACATTCCGGATGGTTCTCCCGGATTCCATGGTATTCTCTTACTTTCCATACACCTCCGTATATTCGTAGGATATTCTAAATATTCAGTCTGACATGTATATAAGGAGCTCATACTGCTCAATAACAAGCCAGACTCGAGCTGGTCTTTCCTCACTCACTTTCCTCTCGTCTGTCTCCTCAGCTTTGTCGTAGCTCAGTCCAGTTGGATTGTTAGTTGCTGACACGGACGCGTCCATGTGACATGCGTAAACTGGTGCCGCCCGGCACGGGAAGTTCTTCGGAAATCGTTCGTCTCTCATGTTTGGGAATTCGTCGTGCATGTGCCAGCTGCCCTTGGAGGTGCACTCCCAGGTGCCCTCGACAGCAACCAGGATCGGTCTGGGTTCCTCACGAACATCGTCCGTCCAGAGTCATGGCCACCTTGGTGGAAAAGCCCTCGCAGGATTCGGTGACGGCGCATGCCCTTGAGGCTAACGTTCGTACGGCCGATGCCACAGACGAACCGCCAGATGGCGGTCTGCGTGCCTGGATGTGTGTTGCCGGCGGGTATGTTCTCTGGCCCCTCTCGTGGGCAGCTTTCCGCACCTCATGTTGCGTGCTGCAATAGATGGCTCGCTTGCTTCTCAACGTTCGGCTACGCCAGCTCTTTCGGTGTGTATCAAGACCTGTACACACTCACAGGCATGTCCTCCGCCTCCAACATAAGCTGGATAGGCTCCCTGCAGCTCTGCCTGATGTTCATGCTTGGCATCCTCTCCGGCAAGCTCCTTGACGAAGGGTACTTCCACCACGTCTGCATCAGCGGGAGTGTGCTCTACGTCTTTTCGTGCGTGCTCCTGTCGTATAGGTGGGGTATGAATGACACATAACTCATGCTGTCAGGATGTTTATGCTCTCTCTGGCGGACACGAGCCGGTACTACCAGGTCCTACTCTCTCAAGGCATCGGCATGGGCCTTGGCGGAGGCTTGGTTCTTATCCCAGCTATCTCTGTACAGGCACATCACTGGAAGAAGCGGCGCTCGCTGGCTATGGGTATAACTTTTACGGGCAGGTCTCTCCGTATCTATCCTACACCGCTATCTCATCACCTCAGCTAGGCTCCTCTTCCGGCGGCGTCGTCTTCCCCATCATGATAAACCGGCTCCTTCACAGTTCGATCGGGTTTGCATGGGGTACTCGTGCATCGGCGTTCTTGATCACGGGCCTGCTCGCCATCGCGAATTGCCTCATGAGCACGCGCTTCCCAAACGCGAAGACACGCGCAAATCGTCCGAAGCTCAACCTCAAAGAGAAGTTGACGGATGCGCCGTTCATGATCACTGTCGCTGGGTAAGTAGAATGCAAACTGTGTACCAACCGAGGGCTCACGGGCTCATAACAGGATCTTCCTCATTTGTTGGGGACTGTTCTTGCCTTGTGAGTAATTCAAAGCCATCCGAATGTGCTCTGATATGACATGCATGCCAGACTTCTATCTACAACTCTTCGTCACTCTACACGGTCTCTCCTCAACTTTTGCCTTTTACACCGTGCGCCTCTACCCACATCTTCTTGCCGCCCTTCCCTCTGACCCTTGTTCCTTCAGCTGGCGATCCTGAACGGCGCCTCGACATTTGGTCGCACACTGTTAAACTCGCTTGGAGACGTGTACGGACCGTTGAACCTTCTCTGCGCCGCCGCAGTCGTCACAGGGGCCCTCATCTTCGCCATGTTCGGCGCCTCGAATACCGCAGGCGCAGTTATCTTCGCTATTGTGTACGGCTTCTTCTCTGGTGGATGTACGTGCTCAGACCGCATCCCATGAATCGAGCGGCTGACCAGCGCGAGACAGGGCTCTCCCTCCTGCCGCCCTCGCTGGCGCTCATGTCGAAGGATATCAACGAGATTGGGTGAGCTGTGCCCTTCGGCGCGATGAGCCTGCTATTAAAAGCCGAGCCGGATGCGCCAGTGTTCGTATAGGCGTCGCATATTTTATCACATCCTGGGCCATGCTCACTGGAACACCTATCGCCGGAGCGTTGTTCATGGGTAATAACTGGGGGAAGCCAATAGCCTTCAGCGGGGTGAGCGATCCATTTTTCTGCATCGGCCCTTGGGGCTTAGCGTGTGGTTGAATGCTCTAGGTTGTAGCACTCGCTGGCGCAGCCTGTCTGATCGTTTCGAGACAGATGTATGCCAAAAGACGGGGCACGCAGAAGATCTGAGCTTCGTCATGCTGGGCTCTTGGCTCCAAGTTGATGGACAGTGTTTGCGCTTGTTTGCTACCTAGACATGCTTGTATCTAGACATGCTTCGGAATACATGGGTTTGTGTTGCTGGCACGGCCGAGCGGGAAGGGTCTGGATATGGAAGGGCGCATCAATTGATGCGGCTGTACGTCCATGACGTCGTTGTCCTATTGAAGGAGGACATATCTGCACTTCTCGCTCTGGACTACCACTTTGTGCTTGGTCTTACATATTCCATTTCTCAGTGTCCAAGTTCTACACACGATGGTATCACGCTGGATCCCTCTTGAAAGCAATCCCGAGGTCAGTCTAGCCGGATGCACAGGTGAATGGAAGCTAATTACAGTTCTGGTGTAGGTGATGAATGCGGTGAGACTATGTGCACATATTGCCGACGGCACATCGAGCTAAATGCGCGTATTCGCTCACTGCCCAGTGGTCCGGCAAGGCTGGACTCGTACTCGAGCAGGACCGTTTCACCGATGTCTACGGCTTCGACCCCAATGTGCGCACCCAGATCACTGGTGCGCATTAGCATCATGTTGATCATTCTTGGCGTTGCAGTTGCTCGGTATGGTACCGCAACCTGTCAAGGCAGTCGTTCTTCTGTTTCCGATAAGCAAGGAGTATGAGGAGAAGCGCAAGGCTGAGGACGAGAAGATCGCAAAGGAGGGGCAGCACCCTATAGATCCTACGATCGTGTGGATCAAGCAGACGGTACGCTGCTTCACATCTCAATGTGCTCGATACTCATTTTTGTGGTGCCCAGATCCAAAACGCCTGCGGCACAATGGGTCTCCTGCATGCGCTCCTGAACGTAAGGACGATCATTTACTCTTCGGGAGCCACGTTCATCGAACGCCCACGCAGTCAAACGTGACACTCGAGCCTGAGAGTGTGCTCGAAAAGTTCATCGACGAATGCAAAGGTGCGATCTTTTTACATCCCCGCCTCTCATCTTGGGCGTGACGCCGTGTGTCTGCAGACAAAACCCCAGAGGAGCGCGCCAAGCTGCTTGAGACGACGCCGCTCTTCGCCAGCATCCACGCCGAGGCTGCAGCGTCGGGGCAGACGGCGGCGCCAGACATCAGCGAAAGCGTCGATCTACACTTTACGTGCTTCGTGCAGGCTCCAGACACCGCTGCGCGCGACCAGGGCGTGCCAGCGCCAGAGGGAGCGCGGAGACTCATTGAACTTGACGGCCGGCGCGCGGGGCCCGTTGACCGCGGCGTGTGCGATGATCTGTTGGCGGACGCGGCGGCGTACATCAAGGACAACTACATGAAGGACACGACGAGCGTGAGCTTCAGTATGCTCGCCTTGGCGCCGCCCGCGGATATCTAGGTTGCCGAGATATGTGGAAATCGGGAGGATGACCACAAGTTACCCAGAGGTTTGGCATCGCAGTGTTGCGTTCAAGGGGAAGATGTAGCTCTCTTCGTGGCGAAACAAATGAATAGCAGCTCGCTAGGACCTGGATCTTGCCATGGTAAAGGGCATGAAAAGCAAATTCCACAGTCTTTGAGCGCTCTAAGGTAGTACTGTACCGCTGGACAACGGAAAGAACCGCCACGCGGACTCCGATGCTGGGGGGTGTTTCAAAGAGGATTAAAAGGAGTTCGTTGATTGGCTAGGACGCATAGTAACGCGCGCGACGCGTCGGGGAGCGCCTTGACCTTACTCAGCACGGGCATATGATAATTATACAAAGAGCCGGGCGGCAAGTCTGGGGACGCTTTGCGCAATCGCTGTCGCACTCGCCGTGCTCAAGCCTCCCATCGCCTCTCACGAACGTCGAATGGCAGGCCAGGTCATCTGCCACGACTCAGAGGGCTGGGGCCCCGTCTCACGGCTCAGGCAATTCGATCTCACTCCGTGCTTCGAAGAGGGCGTCATCCTGTCATCTCTGCTTGTCATCTTCGTCGTGTTTGCAGCCTTCAGGGTCTCCGTCTTCCGCAGCTTTGAGGGCCATCCGAGGAGCAGGAAAAGCCGATGGATCCTGTGGGCAAAACTTGTGCGTGCTCCGTTCATGCTGCCAGATGCATCACAACCTGACATGAACGTGTGATCGGACAGACGATCCTCGCACTAGCACTCGGTGCAAGTCTATCGAACCTTGTCCTTGTGGTCGCCATCCGTAGACCGGTTCCGTTAATTCAGTCTTACATCCTTGAGGTCATCGCGCTCCTATTGGCCCTTCCCCTGACCTACCTCAATCACTACCGCTCGCGGACCTCGTCAAGCCTCTTGCTGCTCTTCTGGCCAGCATACCTCGCAGGTCTTCTTGTCTGGGCTCGCTCAGAATGGATGTCACACTGGGCTGCGATGCATCTGGTCATATTCCTGAAGGCTGTCGTCGCTGGCTGTGGACTTATCGCGTTCGCTCTCGAGTGCTGCGGCTCAGAATTCACAAAAGAGGACCATCCTGAAGTTGCGGACAATGAGAGTCCTCTGTTGACGGCCAATATCTTCAGCATCTGTACATTCTCCTGGATGTCTAGCCTTATGAAGAAGGGCGCGACCCGATACATTACCGAGGAAGACTTGCCGTCCCTGGTCCCTAAGGACGAGTCGGCAAATCTCGGGAAACGGCTGCAGGAGTCGATGAAAAAGCAGTGCGCACAAGCTATTTTGATCGATGTTTCACCATCTAACCGCCTTGCAGCAAAAATCTTGCCGTCGCCCTCTTTGCGGCATACGGCGGACCCTACGCTTTCGCCGGCTTCCTCAAACTCGTCCAGGATTGTCTTGTTTTCCTGCAGCCTCAGCTTCTTCGTTGGCTACTCTCGTATATTTCTGCCTATCAAAGTGCCAGGCCAGACGGTATTGTTCAGAACGGCGCGCCCAGCCCCTTTGAAGGGTTCGCTATCGCTGTCATCATGTTTTGTGCATCCATCTGCCAGACCGCTATCCTGAACCAAGTAAGCTTCATTTTTCGCTTGCTCTTAGAATGAGGCTCAGGTGTGCGTCATAGTACTTCCAACACTGTTTCGATACTGGTATGCGTGTTCGCGCAGGTCTCGTAACAGCCATTTACCAAAAGGCACTGGTACTCTCGAACGACGGGCGCAGCAGCGCATCGGGCGACATCGTTAACCTCATGTCTGTGGACGCCGTGCGACTCCAGGACTTCTGCACGTACGGCTTAATCGCCATCTCTGGACCCTTCCAGATCATACTGGCCTTTACGTCGCTGTACAGCATCCTCGGCTGGCCTGCCTTTGTCGGCGTTGCTATCATGGTTTTCTCGGTCCCGCTCAACACGTTCATCGCGCGAAAGCTTAAGAAAATGCAGGAGAAGCAGATGAAGAACCGCGACCAGCGCACGCGGCTTATGAGCGAGCTGCTCGCCAACATCAAGAGCATCAAGCTCTACGCCTGGGAGAACGCGTTCATGCGCAAGATCCTCTTCGTGCGCAACGATCTCGAGCTCAAGATGCTCCGCAAGATTGGCATCGCGACGAGCCTGAATATGGCGCTCTGGTCCGGCATCCCGCTGCTCGTCGCATTCAGCAGCTTCGCGACGGCCGCCCTCACGTCAGATGCGCCGCTCACGAGTGACAAGATCTTCCCGAGCATCTCGCTCTTCATGCTCCTCCAGTTCCCGCTCGCGATGTTCAGCCAGGTCACGTCGAACATCGTCGAGGCGCTCGTGTCCATCAACCGCCTCTCGGCGTTCTTCGGCGCGGACGAGCTCCAGCCGGACGCGCGCGAGGTCGTCGTGACGAAGAGCAGGCTTGAGATAGGCGATGAGGTGCTCGACATCCGTAATGGTGAGTTTACGTGGAATAAGGACGCGCAGAGCCCGACCCTGGAGGGAATCAATCTTACCGTGAAGAAGGGTGAGCTCGTCGGCGTGCTCGGCCGGGTCGGTGCCGGGAAGACCAGTCTCTTGTCTGCTATTGTTGGCGAGATGAGGCGCATTGAGGGAGAAGTGCAGCTGAATGGTAGTGTCTCCTATGCCCCGCAGAACCCTTGGTGAGAGCTGTATGCTTTTAATTGTAGAGCCATGGGTACTGACGGCCTATCTCAAAGGATTATGAGCGCGACCATCCGTGACAACATCGTTTTCTCGTACGAGTACGATGAGGTGTTCTACGACATGGTGCTGGATGCGTGTGCCCTCCGACCGGACCTTGCGCTCATGCCGCAGGGTGACATGACCGAAGTTGGAGAGAAGGGTATCACACTCAGTGGCGGTCAACGTGCCCGTATCTCGCTTGCTAGGGCCGTGTACGCCAGAGCGGACCTGTGGGTTTTCTCATTTTCCTCTGAAGTATTTCCCACTCACCCACTGCCAGCGTTATCTTGGACGATGTCCTCGCTGCTGTTGATTCACATGTCGCTCGGCATGTCTTTGGTAATTATCAGCCAGAATGTTTTATGGTAGTTTGTTGACAGGTTCGCCGTAGATCAGGTGATCGGTCCGTACGGTTTGCTTGCCACAAAGGCACGGATCATCGTCACGAACAGCATCGCGTTCCTGAAGCACTTTGACAAATTGGTCTACCTGCGACGTGGTCTGATCCTTGAGAGTGGATCCTTCGACGAGCTGACAGCCAACTCAGCGACCGAGCTGTACAAGCTAATGTGCGTCCTCATGTTATCGGCTATTCAATGACGCTGGCTCACTTAATTTTGGCCGTGACAGTAAAGGACACGGTTCTTTGACGTCCTCTGGCATCGCGACCCCCTTCCTGAACGGCGACAGCTCGACTCCATCCTCAGGCACCGCAGTGGACTCACGTGAACTCACGGTCGAGCGCCTCGAAGACGTCAACGAGAGGCTACAGCGCAAACAGAGCTTCGCTAAGGCCGTGCTCGTGCCCTCGCCAACTACGCGCACATCGTCCTCCGGCGACTCTGGGCCCTCCAAAGAGCACATGGAGCAGGGCCGTGTTAAGCAGGACGTCTACGTCCGGTACATCGAGGCTGCCAGCAAGATCGGCTTTACCCTGTTCGTGCTCGCGATGACGCTGAGCCAGGTCGTGTCTGTCGCCGCAAACAACACGCTCCGTGACTGGGGCGAGCACAATCGAGAGGAGGGCAGCAACCGTGGTGTCGGCAGGTATCTGATCGAGTACGGTCTGTTCTCACTCTCGAGCACCCTGCTTAGTGCGGCGGCGGCGATCTTGATTTGGGTATTCTGCGCGATTCGGAGTGCGAGGAGGTTGCATGACTCGATGTTGTACGCTGTGATGCGTGCGCCGATGTCGTTCTTCGAGCAGACTCCCACTGGACGGTGAGTTTGTACTCGTCAAATGTTTTGCATGACCAGCACTGATGACTATCGCGTACAGAATCCTCAACCTGTTTTCGCGTGATATTTACGTCGTTGATCAAGTGCTCGCGCGTGTCATTCAGAATGTGGTCCGCACGTTGTTTGTTACCGTGATGATTGTCTTGGTCGTTGGCTACAACTTCCCACTCTTCGTGCGTAATCTCTACCCGTCCATGCATACGCCCATCTGACCCCAAATAGCTCGTCGCTGTACCTCCTCTCGCCTGGTTCTATGTCAGGGTAATGATGTAAGTACCGACGTCTCTAGACCACACCCACGCGCTCACTATATTATCCGCAGCTACTACCTCTCCACCTCTCGAGAGCTCAAACGTCTCGACGCTGTCTCGCGCTCACCCATCTTCGCCTGGTTCTCCGAATCCCTCAATGGCTTGTCGACCATCCGCGCGTTCAGCCAGCAATCGGTCTTCATCTCTACAAACGAGCGCCGCGTAGACCGCAATCAGATCTGCTATCTGCCGAGCATCTCCGTAAACCGCTGGCTCGCTGTTCGTCTTGAGTTTGTCGGTGCGACGATTATCTTTATCGCTGCGACGCTGTCGATCGCAGCGCTCATGACGACTGGCGTCGATGCGGGCCTCGTCGGCTTCGTCTTGTCATACGCGTTGAATACAACGAGCTCCTTGGTATATCCTGTCGTGCTACCTGTACAGCCGCAATACTCATGGAAGACTCACAGAACTGGGTCGTCCGTTCGATTAGCGAGGTCGAGCAGAATATCGTCAGCGTCGAACGTATCCTGCACTATGTCGAGCTTGAGCCGGAGGCCCCTGCTGAGCTGCCTGGCATCGACCCTGAGAGCTGGCCGTCCCAGGGCGAGGTCGAGTTCAAGGACTATGGTACTAGATACCGTCCTGGTCTTGACCTGGTCCTAAAGGATATCAACATCAAGATTGTAAGTCTAAAGTCCAACAGCTCGCGAAGCTACTTTCATCCGCTGACATAAATCACTGTAGAATGCCAAGGAGAAGATCGGTGTGGTGGGCAGAACAGGGTCTGGGAAGTCTTCGGTAAGTGTGAATACTGTACGTCCTGCACCGTAAGGCTGACACTGTTCAGCTTCTCTTATCTCTATTCCGTATCATCGAGCCCGCACAAGGCACCATTGTTATTGACGGCGTCGACGTCACAAAGGTTGGCCTCCATAAGCGTACGTCCCTCCGACACTCCAACTTTCCCTGTGATTAACAACAGGACAGTACGCTCTGGTATTTCGATTGTCCCGCAAAGCCCAGACCTCTTCGAGGGCACGATACGCGAGAATATCGACCCGACAAATGCGTCGGAAGATGCTGATCTTTGGTGGGCTCTTGAGCAGGTATTCATCTACAGCTCCCTATATCGGTACCACAGGGAGGCTGACGGCAATGGCTAGACACACTTGAAGCAATTTGTTGAGTCCCTGCTCGGAGGTTTGGACGCAGCCGTAAGAGAGGGCGGTTCGTCGATGTCCGCCGGACAGAGGCAATTGCTGTGCTTCGCACGGGCTTTGTTGCGGAAGGTAAGTCTGTATACGAATGTAGGAAGTGGGCATGCGAGTCCTGACTGCAAATATTCCTCTAGTCGAAGATCCTTGTGTTAGATGAAGCGACTTCTGCGGTTGACCTAGACACCGACCGTGCGATCCAAGAGATTATTCGTGGACCACAGTTCAAGGACGTCACGATGCTCACGATTGCGTACGTGCCCTACAAATGAGCCTTGGGATACTTACCGACCACGCATACAGGCATCGACTGAACACTATTCTCGAATCTGACCGCGTCCTGGTTTTGGATGCCGGCCGCGTCATCGAGTACGACACCCCTAAAAGCTTGCTCGCCCAAAAGGAGACGGCATTCTATAGTCTTGCACAGGAGGCTGGCCTCGTTTAGCCTTACACCCATACGACCATCACGTTCACACGCCATAGCAAAAAAGCTATCGATTACGAACATACACAATGTATGACACCGCATCTTTGTCCTACATAGCATGCTAGCTTGTGAATCCAGAGTTGTACGGACTCATCAGTATACGACAGTAGATGTAAGATACAAGTTTTTGTGGGTTCTAATCCGATGCGCCCATCTGAGTCATTACAAACTTGCAAACGTCGACAGAGAAAAATCATGTTAGGAAAAACAAAGGCCCAATGTTGAATTGATACAGTGTCGAGACGGTGGTAGTCTGAGGCTTGATGTGGTTGAAAACATGATAGGTGAGTTGAATCGTTTGATACACGCGGGGCATAGCCAAGTGTGCCGCTAGAATAAGTGCAATGTGATGGAGTGAAATAAATTAATCGCGAGCCCTTGTTGAAGGACGCGCGTGGGTGGACTTCGAATCGAATCGAAGGGTATCACGGGGCCCGGCAAATAAACCATGGCAGACACCGGAGGGGACGACCTCACCGGCCCCTGATGAGCGTGAGGAACTCTTCGCGCGTCTTCTGCTGGGTGCGGAAGCAGCCAAGCATGCACGAGGTGACCGTGGACGAGCCGGGCTTCTGGACGCCGCGCATAGTCATACAGAGGTGCCTGCGGGTGAGAATGGCGGCGTCAGCAATTTGGGCCGAGTCATACGTGGCGCAACATCGCAACAGACGCGCCGTCCAGCGCAAAGCGACCCGAATGAACGAGCAGAGGAAAGACTCACGTCGCCTCCATAACCACAGCAACACCGCGCGGCTTGATCGCTTCCTGCACTGCGATGGCAATCTGCTTCGTGAGGCGCTCCTGGACCTGCAACCGGCGCGAGAATGTCTCTGCGATGCGCGCGAGCTTCGAAATGCCGAGCACGAGCTTGTTCGGGATGTAGGCGATCGCGACTTTGCCGGTGAAGGGCACGAGGTGGTGTTCGCACAGACTCGCGATGTCTATGTCCTTCACAATCACCATCTCGTCGTGGTCCTCGGCGAACACAGCGTCGTTGATTATGTCTGCAGAGCGAGGTCGGCATGGGGAACGCGAGGAAAGGAATAGGGAGGGAATGTACCTGTTAGCCGTTCCTCGTAGCCCTTTGTCAGATACATCAATGCCTGGGCGTACCGCGCCGGCGTGCGCACAAGGCCCTCTCTGTCTGGGTCTTCGCCAATGCATTCGAGCAGTGTTCGTACGGCGCCTGCCAGCTTCTCTTCGCGTGCAGCTCTCTCTTCTGGGGTAGCATTGAGGCGTGCAAGCGTGGACTTTGCTTCAGGTGGGGTAACGTTCTCGGTTGGTGAGGGAGATGGTGGTGCTACTTAGGAACAGAAGACATACCTGGCCAACCGAGGCCGTTAGGATCTGGTAAGGGACTGCTTGCCCCAGCAGTTGAATTATTCAATGGCGTGGCTGCCCCAGACGACAGCCTGAATCCGTACCCTTCATATACATGTCCGTGAGCCTGGCGTTGGAGCTGGCTCGGGCTCGATGGCTCGCTATTCAGCATAGCGATCTCCCCAGTAGCGTCCAGCCCCTCCGTGCTGTTGACTCGATGCTTCTTCGTAGGCTCGACGAGTGAAGAGGGTATCCGCTCTTTGAGTTGGAGCCTGCGCAGGCTGTCTGAGAGAATGGAGCTATGCGAGGCGTTGTCGATGGGCGGGAGGGACATCCGAGGCGCGTTCTACTTGGAGGGGACTGGGGGACTGTGAGCACTGGAGGGACGATGCTTCTCGAGCAAAGATTATCGGGCTCTTCAAAGCTGCGATCAGACGCCTCCGCACCCAGCGGATCAATGATCCCACGAATCTTCATCTCCGACGTCTCTTCGGGCCGCCTGTCTGAGGAGACGCGAGATGACTTCTTTGTCTACATAGTAGTAGTTCACTGTTTACGATTGACTGTTATGCGCGACGAAAGATCATATCGGCCGCATGCGCGTAACAATAACCTCGAAGATGTGCCCCCGATGCTGAGTCTGCATTGTGCACGAGTCTGATTATCATGTAGCTGGAGCAGCCAAAGATATATACTACACGAAAACCTCTGCTAGCGCATCATGGCTGAGCGCTGCCGCGAGCGATGACTGGTTTTCGGTTGCTGATTCCAGTAAACCAATATTGAAGAGGCCAGAAGTCTGATTACTATGTAAAGTATCCGGTTAGTATACGGAGTCTCGCACGTGTAGAGAATAAGCAGCAGTTCATTGGTACGGCATTGTGCATTAAATATGGCTAACGGGTGCTCTCCGCACCTGCTCACAGCATGTCGGCATCAGTATAAACGGGAAGCGACCAGACATCCTCCACACCTCTTTACCTGTCATCGTGGTCTGAACCTTTTGCTCGAACTTGCGGTCGAGAGAGGTAGCAGCCAGACCTATTTTGCGAGGCGAATGCAGATACCTAGTCATGGCGACCTTGTAGCCACGGAAGCTCATCATCCACCACGCTAGAATAGACGTCATATAGCTGGAAGAATCCGCCGAGGACATATTCATGATTTCGTGCGCCCTATAGATATGAATATGTTAGCCTACACTAACGTTAGTACGCGCAGGCCTTACCACGACCTGGCAGTGCACGCCAAGAATGAAGCTCATTCAGCCGATGCGACAACGAGGTGGTATTGTAGCGACGTTGCAACAGACCTATTCTGTTCCTATCCACCCTGAGAAGAAAGGAGGAGACGACGTAAAGCAAAATACATGAGTGGGCCACTGTGATGAGATCGAGAATAGTCGATGACAATGCTAATTACCGAATGTACCGATATATGTAAACTAGTAAATTGTGGAAATGACACGTTGGCGAAAGAAGGGTGAAACACGCGGATAGTAACTGGTAGAGATGAGAGGCCCGGAAGGTTCTAAAGGAGTGAACATAGCAGCCGCTCACCAGGCAGCACGCGCGCAGCTAGCTGAGTAACATCGACTCTAGGGCGTATACTAGAGTGTACAGCCGAGCGAAGGACGGCGGGGGAAGGGCCGCACGCAAACTGGATGGAAGACAGGTGCCAGAAACAAGGGAGCGTGAGGCCGGCAACGAAGCTTGCATGAGGTATACATGGGGAACGTGCTGTTGCAGTGGGGTTGGGGAGATATGAAAGTTCAACCGAGGCATTTGCGGCGGAGGACGCGGCCCACCATAATTAGTGCAAATAGGGATATCGATATGTGTTCACCCAAGAGAAGGGAAGCGCATAACCGGGGCGGCGTGGGACAGGGATCCCAGGCGTTCGGAGAAAACAGAGTGACCAGCATCAGAAAGCGACCAGACGAGAGTCTCTTAGCAGGCCAGTCCTTTCTCGCTTGCTGTTATATCGTGCATGGGCATCGCGTTCGAGTCCATCGTCATCACGTCCGTTTCGTGCATTGGTTTATGGCCATACGCAGACCCGTTGACGCTGTCCGGGCGGATGTCACCGTCACCTGCCATTGTGGTGGGTGTTACTGGCCGTGAGGATACGACGCCGGAGGAAGAGGTTGCGGTAACGGTCGAGACTATCTGCTGATTTTGTGGATAGTATGAGCGGCGCTGCATCCTCTTGAAATCGTACGTAGTGAACCTGAAAGTAGCTGTCAGATTTGAATTAGGAAAGCAAACAACAGACATACTGCTCCTCCATTTGCCGCATCTCTGCACTGAGGTTGTTGATATCTTGCACCTTGCGTTGGCGCGCCTTCAGCGGGTTGTCTTCCAAGAGAAGCTCCTCGAGTTCGTGGGATGCATCAAAATTGGCCTTCTTGGACTGTTGTCGAAGATGAAACATATCATCAAAAGACGTCAGTGATAATTAGAGACCAATGATCCCCCGGTAAACCGTAACCGATATAAATGAATACGTACGTCCGGTACGAAAGGCGCTGGTTGCGTCTTATCCCCCAAGGTGTCCCAGTCGACGCTCTCGAACCACGGATGTGTCTTAAGCTCTGCGAAACCTTCACCGTCTGGCTTGCATCCTAAACGTCTTGCGGGATCACGATCGAGGAACTGGCGTAGGGACCGATGTCAGTACCGCTCAGCAACGAAAACCTCGTGGCATCAATCAATGTCTTAACTGTGACGCTGTAGTCACAACCGGACAGTCCAACGCGAGGTAGCCTGGACAGCAGCGGCGCAATCGATAGCCCAGATATTGAGCCAACTCACCCCCTTCAACGCCTGCAGTCCTGCTCTGCTGCACTTTGACTCTGCGTCCTCCGGGAAGCGCAGTTGGTCCTTAGCGATGCTGTGCGTGAGATCGCTGTTTGTCTTGCCGCGGAATGGGCGCCTTCCAAAAATAAGTTCGTAGGCGCATACACCAAGTGACCACCAATCAACGGTGTAGGTGTATCCCTTCTTCGCCAGAATTTCTGGTGCCATGTAGGCCATCGAGCCCGCAACACCATGAAGCAGACGACGTTCGGAATAGTGTACAGCGATATTGAAGTCAGTTAGGTGTGCGTGACCCCGCTCGTCCAAAAGAATGTTGTCCGGCTTGAGGTCCCTGCAGGACCGCAGGAGCGTGAGAAGACAGCCTCAGCGGAAAAAATGTGGCATACCGATGAATGATCTTCTTCTCATGAAGGAAGGCCAGCGCTGAAGAGATCTCAGCTACATAGTACCGCACGACCTCCTCCGGTAGGGATCCTAGCCGTTCTAAATGGACTGCACGGAGATGGGTTATGTCTCACAGAGCTTTCGAATGCGGCAGACTCACATCGTAAGTCCCCTCCCAGCATGAGATCCAGCACGAAAAAGCAGTTCTCGTCGTCCTGGAACGCATAACGCAAGTTCACAATAAATGGATGGTCGATCTGCGGGGAGTCCTGTGAGATAAGCCGCAGACGGAACTCGGAAGTGCGCACCTCTTCCAATAGTCTTCGTTCCTGTATAATGTTCGCCACAGCCTTCATCTTCACAGATTTGGTTTTGTTAATGTATTTGAGTGCGTACAGTTCGCGTGTCTGCTTGTGCTGTACCACGCGGACCTACAGCACCGGACAGAGTGCTTAGCGGTAATACCCCGCGAAAGATACGGCGTACTAACCTTGCCGAATGCTCCCTTGCCTACACAACGAAGAAGAACAAAGTGGAAGAGGTTAACATCCCCGTCGAAGTCTATCGGCTAGAGTAGACCAACAATCTGGGTCAGACAAGTCAGACAGGGCTGGATGAAGAGAAGCGGACCGTTGGTCGACAGCACACGGCGCCCATGATTGTCGTAAAATCTCGTGCAGCAGGTTGGTGGATCAGAGGGCGGGAAGGACGGGAGCGTCGGCCACGGCTGGAGGGACAGAGGGAGAGGGACGCCGGCGGAAAGGAATGGCGGTCAGAGACAAGCAAAGGAGTTGGTCCACTGTGACCGTAGCGTGACGCCGCAAAGCGTATCAGTGCCTGTGACTTTCTGTGACAACTTTGGCAACCGCTAAATGGGCGCTCTTTGACCATGCAGCTCAACATTATGTAATCTCGCATACCTTAACTCGTTTTAGCGGCTCGTTTATTCCCTGCAAAATTCGCCTGGCTTTTCTCAAGTCCTGCATCGTAGCTGTCACCATTCCTGCACGCCTTGTTCTCTGCTCTTCATCCTCTCCAAGTCGCTCCTTTGTCCTTACACTCGTCCAGTAACGCCGCCAGCATGCCACCCTTCCCTGACTTTCTTCGGCCTCTCGTCATGTCCGGTCCATCTGGCGTAGGCAAGAGCACACTACTTCAACGCCTCTTCGCCGAGTTCCCAGATAAGTTCGGCTTCAGCGTGTCTCGTGAGCACTTCTGGCTCTCTTTCATCCTTTGCGACTGAACCTCTGCCGTCCTTCAGACACCACACGCCTTCCCCGCCCCGGTGAAGTCCATGGCAAACACTATTACTTCGTTTCGCGCGATGAGTTCCTAAAGCTCATCGATGAAGGCGCTTTCATTGAGCATGCAGAATTCTCAGGCAACTTCTATGGCACATCCTTCATGACAGTGCGTGAGGTCTCTGGCGCTGGTCGCCGCTGCCTCCTCGACATTGAAGCACAGGTACGTGGCCTGTATATCTCCGGAATACCGCAGATGCGGATTGCCGTGTAATCGTCTCTAGGGTGTTAGGCAAGTCAAAAACACCGACCTCAATCCTGTATACCTCTTCATCTCGCCACCATCCCTGAGCACCCTCCGGGATCGCTTGCGGGGTCGTGGCACCGAAAGCGAGGCATCTGTTGCGAAGCGGCTAGCGATGGCCCTGAAGGAATGTGACTATGCAAAAGAGGACGCGCATGATCTGGTCATTGTGAATGACGACCTTGATCGCGCCTACAATTTATTCAAGCGTGTTGCTTTAGGAGAGAATGTTGACTCGGACAGGCTGCCGCCCCTGGATGATTAGGGCTGTTGATACATTCCATATGGGTCTCTAAGATATAGATGTTATGTACTGGCAGTCAACGGAAAAATTAGAATTTCAGCACATCCAGAATCAACTGATTTGCTCACTAAATTTCAAGTGGCGTGTCCGTCGCAACATGCGCCGTGAGTCTATCCGCGTCTTGCACCACCAGCCTCTTCGTACTTCGTCCCCAATCATTAGGCACAAGACCATTTGTTCATCTCCACTCCAAACAGCTCCTCGAATCCCTTCTCCACTTATATCCGCACTCACACACGGAAACGAAGGTATGCCATGAGCAAAGCAGAACAACCGGTAACTGTCAGACAGCTGTTGGCAAATGATACTCAGAACAAACTCGACGAACTGACCGAAACCGACAAGATATTGCAAGGTTGTTGCCTGATTGGTTATAAACTCCGAAGTCCACAAGGATGTTAGGCACGACGCACCTTGGAAGATTGGATCGATGTACGCAGAGCAGCAATCTCCTGTTCAATCCGCGTATCGACCTCCTTGATCTTGAGTTCCTGACCACTGCTCTGCTCGCGCATGCGGCCTTTCTCCAAGTTTAGGTCGAGCCGCACTCCAGCCTGCGTTCGCGTGATCTCCTCCCTTAGCCTCTGCTTGAGCTTCTCGATATCCGTAACAAGCCTGTCGTTCTCGGCCTTGAGCATTGCGAGATCGTTCTTCTCCATGAGCTGCAGCTCCGACTTGAGCTGCGCAAAGTCAACTTGCTGGGTATAATGATGCTATTCTGCACTTCAGGAATGAATTTCGAGGTTAGATGGCGGACAAAGCGGACCTTCTCCTGGTCCGCCTTCGTGACCATATTGCTCGTCATATTCCGTATACTCTCGTCGATGACCTCGGCCATCGCGGTCATGATGCCCTCCGCCTGTTTGCGGTTGAGACCTTCCCTCTCAAGCCGCTGCACGAAGTGATGTGTATCAAAGTGGAATTCTAGTCGCGGCGGCGAGCTGTGCAAGGCCCTCTTCGGCCCCACGGTGGGAATACGACCAGCGTACTGGGCGAGTGGCATCCTTGAAGCACCTGCAATTCCTGAGAGAGCGTAGTAGAGCATATTGTATATTGCTGCAGATGGATAGATTATGGGTCGTTGTAGCGTTGGGTGTAATGAGCGGGCGGCGGATGGTCGTGTCAGGGCCAAGATACAGGCGGCGTACGGTCCAGTACGCGCAGGCGCCTGCGGCGCCACGCGGACCTTCAGCCAATCAGCGAGCGGCCCTCATATTTTCCTCAGACGCTGCTCAAGTTTTGTGCCTTCCACCGTTCGCTCTGATTGATGACACCTTGCTTTCCCGCCCATTCAAGATGCAGAGCGACGACGTTATATGGTCTGTTATTAACACACAATTCTGCTCGTACAAAGTCAAGTGAGTGAGACTTCGGCTATGCCGTCGTTTGATCTCGCTAACTTTACGTCCGGCTCAGAACTACCACGCAGAACTTCTGCAGAAACGAGTACAATGTGACGGGTTTCTGTACACGCCAGAGCTGTCCGCTGGCCAATTCAAGATATGCCACAGTACGAGAGCATGAAGGTGGGCTCACTCCCCCCGTTTGTTTTGGGACCTCGACACTCATCGCGTCCCAGGCGTGCTATACCTGTACATCAAGACTATTGAGCGCGCACATTCACCCAAAAACATGTGGGAGAAGATACGGCTAGCAAATAACTACTCTACCGCCCTTGAACAAGTGCGTAACAACTCTGCATGATGCGAGGGCCAGGCGGACTAATGACGGAAGCACAGATCGACAAGGAGCTCATTCACTGGCCAAGTTTCCTAATCCACAAATGCAAGCAGCGTGTAACGAAAATCACGCAGTACCTCATCAAAATGCGCCGCTTGCGGCTACGACAAGAGTGTGTCTCGTTTTCGCCCTGCGCTGCTCCCTTGCTTACTTGGTATCTCTAGACCTAAGCTCGTCGGCGTGAAGAAGAAGCTCGAGCGGCGCGAGGCAACACGTGAACGCAAGGCGCTGTCCGCTGCGAAGCTTGAGCGTAGTATCGCAGCCGAACTGCTCGAACGCCTCAAGTCGAAGGCGTACGGCGACGCCCCGCTGAATGTGAACGAGGAGGTATGGCGGCAGGTGCTCGACCGAGAGAAGGCGGATAAAGAAGGCGTCAAGCTTGAGGACGAAGAGAGCGAGGAGGAAAACGAAGAAGAAGAGATGGAGGAGGAAGAGGAGGGCTGGGGCGATCGTGAGTTCGTGAGTGATATCAGCGGGGACGAGGATGGGCTCAGTGATGTGGAGGATGCCTTCGTGAGTGTACCTGGACTATGCGGACATCGCGTTATGCTAATATTACTTATAGTCGGAAGACGATGGATCGGACGAGGAAGAGGGGTCAGGCGAGGACAAAGACGAGCCTTCAGAGGAAGAGGACTCTCCAAAGGGCAAGGGTAAGGTCACGCTCGGCAAGCGGAAAGCACCTACGAGGCCATCAAAGCCACCGAAGAAGAGGCCGGAGAAGAAAGCGCGGCGGGGACCTCGTGTGGAAGTGGAGTACGAACACGAGATGGAGACGACACCCCTCACAAAAGAGGCGTTGGCAAACTGGTAGCAGTACTACTTCACTTGATGTCGTTTACAACCTTCGCATTTCGTGTCCATACCCAACACATCTTTCTCTGCAAGAGCGACCTTAACGCAAGAACTAATAGTATGCAAGACATTGGACTGAGATATAAGTTACGTATCTATGTGGGGACACCATTACGGTAAGATTGAAGTAAAACATAGGAATACATACCCAAAAAACAAAGAAAAGATAAGATAGTGTACGATTGCTACAAGAAGCCTCTTGAGGGTTTTCATTGCCAGCGTAGCATGCCATCCGGTTACTCTGTCCTGCGCGCCAGCCTCCTCCTGATCTCGATGTCTTCCCTCGTCATCCGAGTGCCGAGCAAGACATCCCAGTGAACGAAGAAAGGCTGTGCAAAATTGTTCTTGATACCGATGACCTGGATACGGCTAGTCAGAACAAGAACACCACGGGCAACACACCACACACCTGATGATGAATATCATGGTAGTCCGCGTTGTTCTCGCAGAACATCTGCAGAGGATCCCAAGGGAAGCGATATCCACAATGGTCGTCCACTGTCTTGAGCGTCGAAACAGCGAAGAGAAGGATAGTTTCTCGAGTAGTCATACACGCGATAGTCTCGGCGAGAACTGCGCCAACGCTGTCGAGGAGGAAGCCTTCGAGTGGATGGTTGTACAGTGCCCCATAAGCATACGGGACATAAAGGCGGTGATGCACGGAATGGAGCGTCTTGTACAAAAACGTATTCATGTGCATGGCGCGATGAAGGAAGTATTCCCATGTGTCGATGATGAACCTTCATTCAGGGTTAGAACAGGTGGCTAGATGTCAGGAAGAAGCAGACGTACATGCCGAAAAGGAGTTTTGCAGTAGGTATTGCCCACCAGTACACGAAGTACAGCATTTCGTGTCCATAGGTCAACCACAAACTCATGCCTTGGTGGTCTCCGAGTACCGTCCTCAAGATGCTGAGCAATGCAGGGGCCTTTCTTGCCATACTCGCCACATGGTCTACCAGATCTCCTGAAGGCTTGTCCTCTATCCACCAAAAGCCGACCGCCGTCTGTACAATGTGCTGGAGTACGACCGCTTTGAGGACATCCCAACGCGACGCAAGGTTGCGCGACTTCACCTCCTCGGAGTCGTGAATGCGATAGGGGTCAAGCGCCTTCCAGTTGGAGATGTCGAGAAGATGGAAAAAGAGCGACGCAGCCCAGTATGCGATGACGGGCGCCGCTAGTGACAGCAGGTGGTCTGGTAGCCAATCTGAGAGTGAGGGGCGAGCGACATAGTAGAGTGGTTTTGCCGCGGTGATGTAGTTGACTTGCGACTTCGAGAGCAGAGCCAGGGCCGGCTCTGTAGAGTTCATGGCTAAGTCGAGGTCGTTGAAGCGGTCAGACAATGACTCGACAACGCCTACGTCGTCGAGGGCTACAAGGTGGCTGGGAGTAAGAGGATCATGAGACTTCGACTTACTGCGGTCGGGACGGGCGCTAGGCGGTGGCGGCCGTCAAAGGTGTCGCGACACATCGCGGCGGACCGCGGCAAGTCTCAGTTCTCTTTCCGTTTCAGCAGTCGTAGTCAGGCCTAGTCAGGCCTAGGACTTCCTCGGTGAGTAGCTTATACCTATTCGCGGCAACGCTACTGGTGCTAATAGTGAAACACACCAGTTTAGTACAGTGGTTTTATTAGTGGTATAGGAGGGCACGCTTACGATACTCGGAGAACTATGCAAGAGAATTGTACACATGACAATAAAGTAGCCGCACTTCCATCTATGTGGCGAATTACCTCGAGAAATGGTAGTAAAACCCAGGCAACAAAAGACCTCCGTGCAGAGCAACAGTCTCGGAGCGCAGGTCGAGAATTAAGAATTAGTGCTACTGATGTAAACTACGTCAGGAGTCATGGTCCAGTCGTAATTTTGAAGCGTCTTGAGTCATATCATTCTATGTCATTACCGCAGGTCAGTGGCAGAGATTTCAAGTCGCGTCAGTACACTCACCATATCTTTTTAGAGCTTCGCTGTTGGCAACGCACTACGCGTGTCTCTCCAGAGAGCTTTGATTGCACCCCAGTACCCCTCAGGATCGACTTTTGCGTGTGACACATGTGGGATGTTTTCAGATATCTCCGCGCGCACGTCAAAGCCGAGACGTCGCGCTTCGTCCATATGTGCCTTCACCTGATTGAAGCGCGTCATAGTATCCGCCTTGCTCGCGAAGTAGAGTCGTGGGACGTCACCCTGGCCAGGGGTCGTCGAACCGCGCCCCTTGCGTTCTTCGCCGATCCGTTTCGCGAGCGGGACGAGATCAGGCGAATTGAGCCGTCGGCGCAAGTCAACGAGTACCGGCGAGAGACCATACGAGATGGCGAAGAGCGAATACAGGAGCGCGAGGATAGGCACGGCGAGCACGCGCTTGACGGGGCTGCGTACTGCCTGAGTGAAGACGACGACCATGCACCGAAGCCCATTACTGTCTGGCACTGAGTCAAGCACAAGCGCAGCGGGATTCAGGCCGCCAAGGCCTGATGGCGTCTTTGGTCGCTTGGCAAGAAGTTTAGAGAAGACGAGAAGTTGCATCCCGCCGCCTATCCAAGCGGTGAGTTACATCTCGCCGCTCGTTGCGAGGCACGCACCATTGGACATTGCGTGCAAAAGGACACCACGCCATTGCCTCCCCTCATCAAGTCTAATCCTATCCACAAGGTCCGCCGCTGGTTCAAGGAGGGCCTCCTGCCGTAGTGCACCGTCTCCGATCAATTCGGGTTGCCGTGCGAAATTCGGAAATCATCACTCACCCGACCTGCTTGCGAGGTCCAGAGCCACGAGCTGTCCGCTTTCACGAGCACGAGTGTGGAAGTTGGATAGATGCTTTTGAAGCCATCTACATATTTCTGTTCGTGTGAGAGTCGTGCATTGACTGCGAGAGGTTAGCCTTATGCTCTAGCGGACGAAAGGACGCAACCTACACCACCCAAAAACTATTATAACACTGTTCGTCCGAACATCAGCTAACGGAACAGCCTTGTATTGGCAGCTTACGCACGAAGGAGAGGACGGGTCGGGTCCATTAGCTATGATGTCGGCAGGTGACACGAAGACATGAGAGTTGACGCGATTCAACTCAGCTGAACGAGCAGTGAAGGTCTGCATGTCCGCGAGAGCATTCAAAACGGGGGCGAAGGAGAGTGGGGGAGGTTGGGAACGTAAAGAAAAAAATTGGTCGCCTATGAAGGATTCCGACCACACTTTTTTCCGGACATGTCAGCGTTCTGCCGTTAGGAACAGGGCAACCAGGTCTGCATTGTGATTGACTCGCGGGGACTGTGGCAACTAACTAAGTACGTGAGATACTCGGCCACTCGGCAACAGTTGGCAAAGGAGGTAGCTCCGGGAAACAAAATTGGCGTCCATCATGATGCTACTTGCCTTGCTACCCCTGTTGGCCCACGCTGCTACCGGCTGCGCAGCCATCGCAACTTCTTAGGTCTCCGTGAGCGACAGCGAAAGACTTGTGAAGAGTGGAACCTACCGTAAGCGCCGACCACTGAAGCGGCCACCAGACCGCGAAGACGATGTAACAGATCCACGTGTTCTAGGATTTACCTAAACGGCGGCATCAAGGTTCAGCTAATCACCCGACAAAAAATGCAGGTTGGTGAGAATGCAACAAGTACAGGAAGACAAGCTTGCAAAGCAACATGACGTAGCACATCCAGCCCGTATGTCCGAGACCAACGGCATCCTCTTCCCTGGAGGCTTGTTTTTGCCGTATCATGCGGGCTTGGGCTTGCCCTGTGCCCTTGAAAAGGGGGCAGGGACAAACTCAAAGCCACCGATGGCTGTTGTCCCTGGAAGTTGGAGATGATAGGTACGCATGCCCGTGCGACTGTCGAGGATCTCTGCGCAGGAAAGGATCCGTAGGGTGCTGTAGTGGTTGAAAGGCGTGGACAGAATTGGTTGAGTCCGGCTGCCAAGTGGCCGCAGGGTCCTGGTGATTTAGTGTGCGATGGCCTGAGTGAACCACAGGAACCATATTAGGGCGCGTTCATCCACCCGTCACGACAGACGCGAGCCCATGCAGCGTCCAATGAGATCCAAGCTCAGGTTCGCGTTGTGACACCATGTGCTCCCGATGATACCACAGCCCTGCTAGGCCCTGCTGTGTGTTCCTTTAGGGCAACAACGGCGTACTGGGCGGCGTGAAGAAACAGATTGCAGAGAGCAGCTCGTTTAACGCGTGGGCTCTACAGCCGACCACCAGTGGATCAGCAGTCAGCAAGTGCTAGTCACAGGACCGAGTCGGATTTACGCGGCATACAAATGTCGGTACAAGAAATCAAGAATCCGCTCCAAGCACCAGTTACCACCCAAAAATCAAGTCCGACACCTGACCTAGGACACTTTTGGACGGAGTCGACTGCGTCCCGCCGGGCTGCAGAGGCAATGAACCGACCACTGCTCCTGGCTTGGGTAATGGGAAGCCAGGCCCGTTTCCTGGCGTGGGCTTCTTGAATGCGGATGCGGATGGCGCAAGCCTAATGGGTGTACCGAGGCTTGCGTTGAGCGTGGGCGAGTGCACGGTGCTAAGAGCCAAATCGGCGTTGGCTGATGTCGATTGAGAGGCAAAACCGCGAGCCGGAGAAGTAGAGTCGGACATTGTGATCTCCGGAGTGGAAGCTTCCGGCGGCGAAACATATGGGCTTCGAAGCGAGGTGCCTAACAGAGCCTCCGCCTGGGTCGGATCCTTTCACTGCGTGTCAATATAGAGAGGATACCGTGGAGGGTAAGAAGAACGCACAGCCCACTTTACACCGACCATCCATGATCCTCCGAGCACCTCACCGTTCTTGCGCACGGCCCTCATGGCTTCCGCTGAGTTGGAGTAACCTATTCTGAAGCAATTTGTTATCTCCAAATTGGGATCTACCTCCGTGGCGTCGCCAAGCGAGCGGAAATATTCTGCTGCAGCACTATATCTATCGGGTGGATAACCGAATACGATGACATAGATAGGCTTCTTTGAGGGCGTTCCGGATGCATGACCCTTTGGCGTCGCAGGAATTTGGCTCTGAGATGGCCGGAAGATGGAATTGCGCACTGGAGTGTCCAAAGAGACCGTCTGCCGCGGCCCAGTCAGTATCTCGAGGTTGACAGTATTAGGAAAGCCAGTGCGATATCTCACCGAAGGTCCGCGCCGAGATGCGAAAGCGTCATAAAGTTCGTCTGGAATGTCGTTAACCGAGCTCATCGGCGGCGCATCTTCGTCGGCAAACGTCTGTCTTGAGCGATGTCTAACAGAGCGCGGATGGGTGAATAAGACCGCGCTCGATTGCGATTCAACACACCTCAAAGTCTCAAACATGGAGTCCATTCCGAAATCAGCAGCAGATGTACCATTGAGTGCGTGGTTCATTTTGGCTTTTGTCTGTACAACAGGGACATCATCGTAGCGTGGACTTTGAGAGGTAGCCTGTAAGAGAGTAAGGATTTTGAGTAAGACATAAGGCAGGATGTGACTTACAGTGCTTTGACTGGCACTCTGCGATGCAACCAGTCCATTAGCAGACTAGTGGTGTCGAACAAGGAGGAGCTTACGAGTAAGTATCCGGGTTGATAGTGGCCCCTCGACTGTGTAAGCGTATCGCTCAGCGAGCCGCCAACATTCGTGCTACCAAGCGCACCAGAGCGCAAGCTCGGACTATGTATCGCCGCCTGACTCGTCATACCCGCGACCATGAAAGGTTGTGAATGTGAATGTGGAAAGCCTGGTCGGTGTTCTTGACCATGGTTCTGATGCGAGCTAGAAGTATTGGACGGGTAAGATGTGCTAGAAAACATAGCCCCAGTGGAAATAGATGCGCAGGGGGTTTGTACAGCGGAAGATTCACGCGCCGAAAACACAGCGAATTGAGGAGAGGCTGAGGCGACTCGCGCGTTGTGGCCGTCGCACGTGACAAACTAACTAGCGTTTTTCTCCAAAGTCAATAGTATATCTATGACTCTCACCTGTGAGCAAGGCTCAGTGGTCTAGTAGTATGATTCCTGCTTCGGGTCTTTAAACCCAGATTTCTTCAGTCTGAAATTGCAGGAGGTCCCGGGTTCAATTCCCGGCTGAGCCCTTACTTTTCTTGTTTGATTTTCCTTTCTTCTTTTGTTTGACCTTTGAAGTTTGAAGTGATTAAGGCTCCAACCGTTTAGTTTACGTTTAAAATTTTTTTGTAAACACACAGTAAACGGTTATAAACGTTTATAAACAGTTTATAAACAGTAAACAAACAGTTAATATGTACAATCACTTTTTCTTTGAGGATCGTGCCGGAATAACTTCCAGAAGGCCTGCGCGAATCCATTGCTTGACGCACATAGCCTCTGTGACAGTCTGTGCCCGGAAAGAGGAGCGAAGATCGGTACACAAGTGTCGAGACGCCGAAAACAGTCGTTCCACTGACACGCTTGTTGCGGGAATGGCCAGAAAGTCGCGCGCCATACGGCTTATGATGGGAAATGCACCTGCGTGCTCCTAAAGAGTTGGAGTCAGTCACAAGATTTGTACAAAAGCAAGGACAGCTCACCTTCCACCAGGTCAGAATAGTACTATGCGGCTCAACCGCACCGCCTTCGCCCGCAAGATACTGCTCAGCTTCGTTCCGTCGCAAGACAGATGCAACGGTTGCTTGTGAGGGCTGCAGAAC